TTTCAAAAATTAAGGAAAAATTACTCAGAAATAGTTAATCTATTTAATTATACTAATAATTGAACATATGTATTAAAATGCTATATATAAAGAAGACATTGATAATCTGTCGTTCATCTCATTCTAATATATGTATTAATATATTATAAAATCAAAGAATTTATGATTTACTGTATACACACATGTGTATGTTGAAGTATATTTGTAGTATAATTTAAGAAAAAGTATGTATGCTTATGTATTGAGCGGGTCGGGGCGGGATGGGTCAATACTAATACCCGGACCCGCCCCATTGTATAGGCGGGGCGGGGCGGACCCGCCCCATTTGGAAGACGGGGCGGGCCAGACCCGCCCCAAATGTCTCGGGGCAGGGCGGGTCACTGCGGGTCGGGTTTTTTTGACATCCCTATATACATGGTGCATATTTTTTTATCGAAGGGGGCTTATATTGATAAAATAGCATTCAGATAGAGTCTGAAATAACAAAAGGACCACATGTAAGCATCCGCCCTTGGACCAGACTCAGAGTTAACCACCTTTGACAAAGCAATATAACTCGTTGATCCTAACTTGGGCATAACTAAGCCAACGACAATTACCGTAGACCTTTCATCCCCCATTACCCTTCCAAAAAGGTAATCAAACAAAGTGTGCTTTATGAAACGTTTCCTAACTTTTGTTTTCACTGTAAAGAATTTGGGCACCACCCTTTTATTTGTAAAAAGCTTGCCAAAAGGGTTGATGGGGAAAGTGAAAAAGAACCGAGTGTTGAAACAAATAAGGTTGTTGTGTGTGAGGCCACTCGGACAGAAGTTGCTGCCCAGGGATACCCGACCGGGGGTGCATCTGGCCCGACCGGGCTTCTTGAAAAAACTGCAGCAGCAGTTGATGACCCGGCTGCTTGCCCGACCGGGCAGACCAGCGACCCGAACGGCTCTGCCAGGCAGTCTGCAAACCAGGGAACTACCACGGTGTCTATGACTGTACCAGCTACACAGGGACCTTCTAAGGTTGATAAAGCCTCCGAGGTTGTCTTGGAAGATGTCGAGAGGACTGTGATGGACCAAAGTGATGTGAAACAGAATGATGTGGTCATCAAATGTGAGGTAATAAACGGTAAGACACTTAAGTTAGTTGTCAAACCGTTTAGATTCGTGCAGGCTAATGTGATTAGAGTGGATACCTCTCTGCGACTTACGCATGATCTGGATAGGAAGGGCCTTACATTTACCGCGAAATGTCTTGAAGGTTTGCCGGGAGTTACAAAGAAGAAAGGGGAGGTCTGCTTTGATTCAAAGTTCACTACTCCTTTCCGATGCTTTCTTGGATGTTAAATTAGTACTAATTAGTGATTTGTGAAGTGGGGACTGTCCCATTATCTTGATGCATTATGTCTAGGTTAGTTTATTCTAGCTTAGATAGTCATTTTGATTTGGATTGATGCATTGTAAAATGCTATTTTTTCGGTTTCTAATATACTTACATATTATCGAAAAAAAAAGAGTTTTACAACATAAAAAAGAATAGAAACAAAACACAACTATCTGAGCGTGGAAATAAAAACGCAAAAACACAATGAAGAAAACACCAAAACTCGTCCTCCTAAGCAGAATCACCAAGTGCACCATCGGCGGGTCTAGAAGTCCTGACCCGCCGCCTCCCCATTTTTTGACTCATCAAGCGTCATGCCCTCACTAGTTGTAACCCATTTGATTGGCCTTCCCAAATCCTCCTGCGTTTTGCCTAGGGCTGGGACCGGTTCGGTTCTTACTCAAAATGAGTGGAACCGTTATAAAAGTCTTAACTAATGAAATCGGTTCGGTTCCTATATAAAAAATCAAGAACCGTTATGGAACCGAACCGGTAGTAAACGGTTCGGTTCTTCCTTTTACCGGTTCCTAGAATAATTTTTTCTCGTCTAAGAATTAACACATAATTTTAAACACGTCGAAAATTCAAAACACGAGTATTAAAATTTTATTTGAAGCTCTAATCACTTCGAACATCAAAGCTCAAACTTAACTAATGAACTTTGAACACTTAATAGAACAAAAGTGATTTAAATTTTCATGTAATAAATGAAACATTAAAAATCGTTGTATTGTCGAAGCGATGAAGGTTACTCGTCATCATAGTAGCAAGAATAGGACGCCTACTTCAAGTCGTTCAAAACATTAAAAAAAAGACATTGAGTTTGCATGTATAGATATAAAAAAACATTATTACATTCTATTGATTCATAATAAATCTAATAATTAGAAATATCATGAAAATAGTAAAGTAAAATATGTGCAATCAACTACAAGTTATTTGGGTTATTTTATATTTATAAAATTTATGTGATGGAACAAAACTTGATTTGTAGAAAGGCGTTAAATGTATTATATCAACCTCATGTACAATATTTATTACTTCTTTTCCGTTGATTAAATTAGAATTGTTAGTTAAATATCTTATACTATTTTATTATTGTTGTTGTGGTGGTGGTTGTTATTGCTATTATATTATTATTATTATTATTATTATTATTATTGTTGTTGTTGTTGTTACTACTACTACTAATATTATTTTATTTTATTTTTTTAATAACGGTTCTTTAACGGTTCCATGCACATATTTTTTATAGGAACCGGGAACCGAACCGTTATAACCCGCTTCGGTTCGGTTCCTACAAATGAGGCATTAATTGTTAACGGTTCGGTTCCTAGATGTTGTTAACGGTTCGGTTCCAATCGGTTCTACATTTCCTGTTCCAAAATCCCACCCCTAGTTTTGTCTCCCCTGGAACCTCCTCTGTGTCGCCTATCTCACCCTTCTTTGACACAATGTTGCATGTTTCTGCTGAGGACTCACGTCGATCCTGTTTCAGCAGATCTATCTTCTGCTGTTACCTAGTACCCCCTGAGCTTGAGAAATCATCCACTAACCACTTATTAGTCCCTATTGGGCTAGTCTTCCCCCCTCCGCCAGCCCTGAGCTCGACCCCAAAAGTTTTCTCTAGCACAATACCCTCCTCATATTTCAAGGGACATAATTTATCTGAATGCCCAATCACCCCACACACGAAACATAAATTAGGTAGTTTTTCATATTTAAAATCTACCCAATGTCCAATTCCCTCTTTTTTCAAACTAGTTCCCTTCTTCAAAAGTTTTCTCACATCTATACACACCCTAATTCTCATGTAAGATTTCCATTTTTCCTCAAACTGGTTCTTATCAAAACTAATAAATGTGCCAATATAGTTCTCAATTCTCTTAGCAGAACCCAGATTCCTAAATTTAAAAGGAACATTGTGAACCTGTACCCAGAAGTCAGACTCACACAAACTCATCCTTTCAGGTATATCATATGGCTGAACAGCTTTCAAGAGAAGTAAATCTCTCTCAAACAACCAAGGGTCATCCTCAAGCACACGATTCATATCCACAATATGATAGAAAGTGAAAAGGTACCTTTTATCTCCAATTTCCTTGATGGAAACCCCTTTCCTCGGGCGCAAAAGTTTTCTCTAGCACAATACCCTCCTCATATTTCAAGGGACATAATTTATCTGAATGCCCAATCACCCCACACACGAAACATAAATTAGGTAGTTTTTCATATTTAAAATCTACCCAATGTCCAATTCCCTCTTTTTTCAAACTAGTTCCCTTCTTCAAAAGTTTTCTCACATCTATACACACCCTAATTCTCATGTAAGATTTCCATTTTTCCTCAAACTGGTTCTTATCAAAACTAATAAATGTGCCAATATAGTTCTCAATTCTCTTAGCAGAACCCAGATTCCTAAATTTAAAAGGAACATTGTGAACCTGTACCCAGAAGTCAGACTCACACAAACTCATCCTTTCAGGTATATCATATGGCTGAACAGCTTTCAAGAGAAGTAAATCTCTCTCAAACAACCAAGGGTCATCCTCAAGCACACGATTCATATCCACAATATGATAGAAAGTGAAAAGGTACCTTTTATCTCCAATTTCCTTGATGGAAACCCCTCTCCTCGGGCGCCAAATTGAAGCCAAAAGATCTTTGAATACCTAAAGTTTGATTTTCCGGTCCGTAAGCACTACTCCGACCACCGGAAATTCTAATCTTTCGTCGGCTGCATCCATCTCCCCGACTTCCTCACCATCAAAATTGAGTTCATTGTCTTTCTCTCCAATAGCCATCTTCTTATAGTTATTGACGATATCATCCATAGAAAACAGCCCCCACTGGTTCGATCCTTCCCCTCTGTCCATTTCGGCCAAACCCGAAAAAAGCAGCCGCCGAGCAGACGGAACCCCAAACCGCACCGAGGACGATTGTTGAAGCTTGCGAGATACTAACCTAAAGCCGTTCTTTGATCGAAATTGAAAACGGAAGAAGAACCTCTAACGGCGGCTAAGCCCTAGAGAGCAACAATAAACATATACATGGTGCATATTATATCTGTATTAATGCTAAAATAAGTTAAAGTTTATTCTCAATGCACCAAATTGTTTTTACAAATTAAAGTAAGAAGTAAACTGATTGTAGTGTAATTTAGTGTCAACAAACATTTATATTTTGGATTTACTTTGCATCATCTAAAAAATGTTTAGCTATTGTGTCTGATATTTAATATCATTGATATTTTACATATCGAGTACTAATTATCTAATAAAGATAATTAAACATTACAAAATTAAGAATTTTGATATAATAGGTGTCCTAAGTCTTAAACAATGAGTTGTTCTATTGTTTATTTGTTTAAATTATGTAAATTATTTTAGATTTTGCTTATTTTAAATCTCCAATTAAGTGTAGTATTACATTATGTGAACTTATATATTAATTTTGAAAACTAAAATATAAGGGGGGCGAACACATATATATCTAACTAATTAAAGTCTGAAAAATATTACATATATACTAGAAAATTTTGAAAGCCCAAGGGGGGCGGTCGCTCCCCGCGCCCCCCTTAAATCCATCCCTGTTTCATAGAATCATAGATGGGCTGGACACACGTGGAAGCTGAAACGAATGCACGAGTCATAGTTAATGGAGCTTATGCAGAACCCGGAAAATCAACATTACTATATTAGTCTATTAGAGCTTATTGAGATGATACAAGGTGGATGCTTAAGCATAATGTTAATATTAGAGTTACACGTTGTAAACGCTCTGCAAACCATACTGCACATACGTTAGCAAAAGGCCAAAAGCAGTAGGTTCTGCGTCAGGACGAAGGAAGATTGTTTTCTCCTCCATCAATTACTGTATGTCACTTGGTCAACGATATTCTAAACTAATATAGTTGCTTGTTTATGATAAAAATAAAACAAATATACCACGTAATATAAATATAGTACAATAGAATGGTTTGAACCAAGGTGCTGCAACGGCAATAGCCAAATTGCCAACCCATAGAGCGGTTTAATCATCATTGATTGCTGGATGCAAAAGTAAAAGCAACGTACAATTGCCGCCCTTAAATTGGTCTGAATATAGATCAATGAATTCACATACTTCTCCTTATTCTTGTTACTTTGAGATTAAGCCTCCCTCCTGTCCACGGTCTTCCCCCCTCCCATCTATCTATATATACACGCTTTTAATAGTTGCTTGCTTAAATTCTGTTCTTGAACGTTTAGTAGTACTTCTACCACTACAGTCTACAGTCTACACATGGGAAACTGCTTGGTGAGAAAGGCACTTCAGGAGAAGATAAGCGAGACTCCGAGAGAAGACATGAGCAGAATACAACCGCCCCAGAAAGAGAGGAAACAGAAAAAGACAGTCAGGTTTAAGCTTGACAACTGCGAAGAAGAAGCAGAAAGAAGGAGACAAGGGGGTGTGAGGATTACGGTCGTCATGAAGCGGGACGAGTTACGCCAAATCTTGGAGGGAGGAGAACCATTGCTCTCCTCCTCCCAGGATGCTCTTCTTCTGTCTGAAACCATCATCAGGTTAGGGAGTATAAAGAGGAGAAGAATGGTTCCAGATGATGAACCTTTTTCACCTTCCAACGGCGTAGATTTCACATCCACACCAGCTCTGGAAAGTATACAGGAGGACTTGTAAAGGCTTCTTTAACGCTTAACGGACAACCACTAATTATTGATTGTGTATTACGGAGTAAGCATTTTGTATACAACCACTTATTAATAAGACCTGACGTGACTGCTGTGGTTGAATTATACGTAGCGGTAGTATATATATATATAAGATCTCATCCTGAAATTGTATTGTTATATTTTGAAATATCATGTTTTACTCTGAGCAAATTTTGATTTCATTATCATCTGTTGCAATCAATTTAATGAATAAATTACAAAGTATCATGTAAGTAGAATGACAGAATGAAACCATTCAATCATACGAGGGAGATGTTGGAAAAATTGTTGTCGCGTTCCTAATTTCCTATTACATGAATAGTATTTTTTTCCCCAACAAAATGTCAAAATCCTTCAAATATATATATGTATGTATGCTCAAGCATATGGTGGTCCAGCACCATACATGCGAGAAGGAACGTTTATCTGAATGAAATATTATTTTATTAGCAATAATTGAGACAATTAATCAAATTTATTTTTTCCCCGGTTGAGCTTCTCGATCCAACAGATGTAGGTAGGGTAGCTCGTTCATTGCTTAGTCAACTGACGAATAACATACGGCAGAATACCTCCATGATTGAAATATGCCAACTCCACCTACAGTGAGAGGATGAAAAGACGTTATTATTTTATACATCTATTCAGTTTTTTGTGTTTTGTTACCAGTTTTCCCAGGCTATTTTTGGACAACTATCCTAGTATTCTTTACATATTTTAGATGAATGAATCATGACCGTTCATCACGCCAATGTGCATTGTAGTGAGCACATGAAGGACAATAGACTAAACATTGAAGGAAACAAACTATGACTACATAACAAGACATTGAAGCCAATGACTAAACTTATACTACGTATTTGATATTTGTTGAAACTAGAGTTATTTTATTATTATAACTATATGAAGATCAAGATTCATAAACATATAACAATTACAAAACAGTTCTCGTAGTACAGTTTCCCATTAACTTTCCAATGCCAGTGCAAGTGTAGTGTGTAGGGTCGAGCTCAAAAAAAAAATTGGCCTAGTATTTCTTGGATGCAAACACACCCTGGTATATTTTTTCATTTAAGAGTGAATTGAAGAAGTAGATGATATTGAAAAGTGTTACCTCAGTATCAAACCGCACTGTGCAGGTGAAAGATTTGCCAGTGTCAGTTTGAACAGTCACATCCTGCCCAGGACGTATGTCACTGATATTGCTGGGGAGATCAATAGAGTAACGCTCCTTCCCAGTCAATCCCAGTGTTTCGGCATCCTCTCCAGCCTTGAAACATAAAGGAATAATACCCATCCCTACCAAGTTACTCCGGTGTATCCTCTCAAAGCTTTTGGCGATCACAGCTTTTACTCCCTGTCCCACCATTCACATCAAATTTACATTCAAAACCAGAATGTAATACACACACACACAATTGTGATTGATGTCCCCTGTTTTATCTTTACAAATTTTGTTTTAGTTTTCTTTTGTTCTTTTTTCAAATTTCTAAAACATAATATAGTGGGCTGATCTGTTTTGTATATCGTATTCCATAGGATGATGTTTATATATGATCTTATAAAAATTCTAATTTTCTAACTGTGTCGACCAGAAATATGGTGTTGAAATTAATGCGGACAACGCGAAATAATGCTCCAACAGATGTAGGGATAGTTGAACACAAAAACACTACCGTTGAACACATATTCCTGTCCTATTAATGAAGAAGCGAAACAAATGCAGAAAAGGATAATGTTATGAAACGATATAAACAGCTGAGCAATGATATAGGGGAAGTCTCACCAACAACATTGGTCCCTTGGCAGCCCAATCTCTGGAACTTCCACTTCCATACTCTGCTCCAGCCAATATTATGGTAGCCTGCCCAGCAGACTTGTATCTCTGAAAGTAATATGTTTTCTTTAGCTTTTTGCCCATGAAAGTAATATGTTTTCTTTGGGGAATATGGAAAGGACGGGGAAGGGGCAATATCAAAAGGTTTCATACAGAAACCAATGAAAAATTATATAGAAATACATGAGTTGGCTACATATAGAGTTATTTTCTAATCTATCACTAATAGATAGTGATCCATTAGGAAAACGAATAAATGGAAAGCGAACAGTGCATTACCATAGCAGCATCGAACACATAGAGTTTCTCGCCCGTGGGGATATGAATTGTCTTGGGGCCAACTTCTCCATTCAGCAGTTTGTTTACCAGACGGATATTGGCGAAAGTACCCCTTGCCATAATTTCATCATTGCCACGCCGACTGCCATAAGAGTTGAAGTCCTTGCGATCCACCCCATGCTCCAGGAGGAACTTGGCAGCCGGACTGTCCTTGTGAATGTTTCCAGCAGGTGAGATGTGATCTGTGGTTATACTGTCCCCGAAATTCAACAAGCAATAGGCATCCTTCACACCATGTGGCCCTGGTGGGTCCATGGTCATGCCTTTGAAATATGGTGGCTCATGAATATATGTAGAGGTTGGGTCCCACGAGTACAATTTGGCTTCTGGGATTGACAACTCATTCCACATCGGGTTACCTTTAGTAATGGCTTTATAGGTACTCTTAAACATATCTGGCAATACACTTGATTGAACAGCCTAAAATGGAAAATGGTCAATTAATTTTTCCGCATCAACTTCTTCTATTAAACAGTTATTAAGATGGCATAAAGCAATGTATACCTCTGCAATTTCCTCCGTTGATGGCCATATATCCCTGAAATAAACATTCTTACCATCCTTCCCAACTCCAATGGGCTCTTTTTCAAAATCAATATCAACCTGCATACACAGTAAGATCCAAGATCCAATTCCTATCAGTCTATAATTCATTTAAGTTCATGCTCTAATTTGTGTGCACATTTGTTTGTTATAAAGAAAATGTATCCATGAAGTGGTTCTTATGGAAACCTCACACAAGCACATATATACTCACTAAGATTTTTAAATTAATTTTTAAAACAATTTTATCATAATATGAGCTACTAAATAAATAAATCATCATCATAAAGTTATACAGAACAAGTAGGGTCATGACTATTTATAGATTATAAGTAGATACTCAAGAAAATAAGGAAAGAAAAAAAATGCAATTTGACCAATGAATAGTAAGCTAGTAACTAAGAGTCTAAGACAGGTACACTGTGTAATGTGTATATATATACTACCTCCATCACGAAAAGAAGTTCCCACTTTTCATTTTTAGATGTCCCAAAATGAAGTTCCCATTTTCATAAAAAGAAACCTTTTTAGGAAAAAGGGTCAAACTTTTTAGGTTAAGATGGCATGATTGACCATGTTTTTAAACATACTTATATGATACTCCGTAGTCCGTACTTTTCTTAGTATAGGGACTGAAGTGATGGATTGGGAATAGTAGAAGGGTCTCTTTGGCCCTTTTTCTATCATTTTATAGGAAAAGTCAGAAGTACCCATACTTTTTGCCTTCTTTTTACTTGATTTGACATAAAGTAAAACTGCAAGAGTATATCTACAGTCAAAACCAAATTTACCTTACATAAGCATGTGAGTAAGTCAACCCTATCATGTATATATAGAGAAAGAGAGATATTGGGTGTATGCTTGTGTTTCAAAAAGTAGTAGCAACCCTATCATGTAAGGTGCACATACAAGATAAATACAACAGCTAATACATATGAAACAGAGCAATGACATACTGTGCCAGCAAGTGCGTAGGCGACCACCAAAGGAGGAGAGGCAAGATAGTTGGCTCGTGTTAAGGGATGAACACGACCCTCAAAATTACGGTTTCCAGAAAGTACAGCAGCCGCAACAATGTCTGAAAAATAGCAAGCCCTTACTTAGACACTATTATCGACACAAAACAACACTGAAGAAGTATATTCTCATGCGCAAAACCAGACACATATGCTCTATTTGGATGGAGGTAGACAAGCCAGGAAGGGAAGGCTTTATATCTTGATACATCGGTACATAATTGAGATTTTATAAAATTGGAAGGTTGAAGTAATAGTCACGTATAACGATTCAATCACCTTTTATTTGTTTATAGAATTACATTGATCACGAATATTGGCTAAGCCCCCAAAATCTTCCATCCAAATAGACCCTTTATGACAATTGGCTAACATTTTGTATATATTATTCTGATTTTGATTTCAGATTGTGTAAAAGAAATATACAAGTGTTGGGCGATGTTTCTGTTTCAGTACATTATTTGTAAAAAGAATGGTCTCACAAAGATGGGTCATTTTTTCAAAAATGAGATGTATTTTATAGATTGGTTAAACTAAACCAATCTTTTATCACATCTAACTTTGTGTTTGAACATAACAAGGACATAAATCTTGCCGAACAGTGCCCAAGTGTTTTATGAGCAAATGGTAAAAAAATCTACATACCGTTTTCAGATATGGCAGAACCAACTGATTCATCTAAATCACCAGAATTGCCAATACATGTTGTGCACCCATATCCAACAATATTGAAACCTTGCTTATTTAGATACTCCTGCAGCCCACTGCATACAGCCACAAATAGATTGACGGTGACTATTTTTTAGAAATATATATTGAAACGGTTTGGTGCAGATATTACCTTTGGAGTAAGTATTTTGTCACAACTCCAGATCCTGGGGCAAGACTGGTTTTTATCCATGGTTTTACCTGACATAAAGTACAAGAATATGAATTTCAACTAACTGTTGAAGTTGCAACCAACCATTCAAGTCTAAAGACAAGAACTGACATGTAGACCCAACTCAGAGGCTTTTTTAGCCACAAGTCCAGCTCCTAGCATAACACTTGGATTCGATGTATTAGTGCAACTTGTGATGGCAGCAATTACAACGCTGCCATGTTTCAGCTCCGCAGGCTGACCATGGAAAGAAAATTTTGCCACCTTTTCCTGTGCCTCCTTTGGCACAGCGAATCCCTGCATTGGACCGGAGTTCATTAGCAGCAAGTTTAACATGGTGATGGTCAGGTAAGTCAAGAGTCATTGATATTAAACAGGGAAAGTTAACCACAGAAACTAGGGAACGAATTGGGATCTCATTAGCATGGAATCTGGATCAATGTCTGAGCACAGCTTCAAGGATGATATTATTTATTGATTGATATTTAGTTTATTACTTACCTGTTACACTATGTGTTTTAAGACTATAAGTAAAGAGTCCTTCTAAAAGGAAAGAGTAGAGGAGGATTCCTATCAAGCCTATTATTTCTTAGTATTTAGTTCTTTACTCATTAATTCCAATCAATTGGTCCGATACACTGTCTTCAGTCCTTTCCTTTCACCTAGTCATATTATGAACTAAAAAAACTATTATTTAACAAACAAATCAGTTGTAAGCACACGATCAATTAAAAAGCATGTCTTTGAGGAGAAGCTGATCGGCTTTGACAATCACCTTGAATCCCACTTTGTTATCAAGGCAGGAATGCCAGTCAGACTTCATCTCCTTGAGAGCGACACGATCATGTGGTCTGCCATGATGACAAGTGAAATTTGAACATAAACTAGCAAACTATATAATGTAATAATAAAATCCACTGTTACAACTCGAAGCAGATACCTTTTTGGCCCTGACAAACATGGTTCAACACCTTCAAGGTCTAGTTGCAATGATGATGAATACTTTCTTTCCTGTTGAGGCTGAAGTTCAAATGAAAAAAGCACTTGGATCAAACAAGGAATAGAGATGAAAGAACCCAATAGAAGGGAAATATTATTTGAAATGAACTTGTACCTCATTATAATCAACAAACATATTGTTTGCACGAAGATACGCCTCAATCATGGCAACCTAAATTAAAGTAAAAAAACATGAGCACCTAAAGAAGATAACATGAAAAGCAAGTATGTGTTCAGCATTCATATGCAGGATAAATTTGAAACTTACAGTCTCATCACTTCTCCCAGTCAATTTGAGATATTGCAATGTAACATGATCTACGGGGAAGAATCCCATAGTTGCACCATATTCAGGAGACATGTTAGCAATAGTTGCTCTGTCAGCTAATGATAATTGACCGACACCATGACCTAAAATAAAAAATAAACAATGAGAATTTCCATAAGTTATATTCTAATTTCTAAGTAGCACGGAAACACAAAACAAGAAAATGAAAAGGGAAACGCGAGAAACGTGATTTCTAAAAAATAGGATACCAAATGTGAAGGGTAACACATAAATATTTACAAATACAAGGATATATTTATAAATATTTTTTCATATATTTACACATGTTTTCATTTATATGTATATGCAAATTATTGTTTCATATAACTTGTTTGATAACTCAATAACATAAATGAATTCATAAACACGTGTTCAAATTTAGAAATTGTCACATATTAGTGCACAACTAAATATAACATGTAGTGCATTTCTAACAATGCATTGTATTATGAAATGTTGCAATGTTGCTATGAAGTTCCATAAAAAATCACTATAGTTTTTTAATACGGAAATATTTTCCATCAAGCAATCCCATAAGAACCCGGAAACAGGAATTTGAAATTTCTGAGTTTCCAATACGCTTACGAGTTTCGAAAACGGGGAAACGTGAGCCGGGAGAAGTTTCCTTGTTTCATAGATTATATTCATGAAAGCTATAACATCTAGACAGATTAGGCCAAGTAAACAATTCTTTTTATGTAACCGTTACCATGGAATTCAACAAACTTTCCAACAACTCCGTGCTTCCTGAGCATTTGGGTTACGGTCAAAACTAAATCTGTGGCTGTGACACCATTGCGCAACTTCCCGGTTAACTGAAAACCAACAACTCCAGGCAAGACCATACTCATTGGCTGCTCATGTACAAACAATAGCAGAAGGTTAATGTATTTAACTTGAAAGCTAAAGGGAAAAATGGGGTGTTAGCAGTAGGTAGTTACCGAATGTCTCATAGAGTTTAATGAATCAATTTTATAGTTAATTTACCTGACCAAGCATTGCTGCTTCTGCTTCAATACCTCCAACACCCCAGCCTGCAACTCCAAGGCCATCAATCATGGTGGTATGGGAATCAGTTCCCACCACACTATCAGGATAAAGTAAGCCATCAGTGTTGAACACAACCCGTCCAAGATACTCTAAGTTCACCTACAAGAATTTCATTGGTGTTCAAACTTAAAATAGTTTAGATATAAACCCAATACGTGTTTTTCGTCTTTTTACTCTACCAAAAACAAGTAATAAGTGAAAGCAAGTCATTTAAAAAAACATTAGTTTGCAAGTGACAATGAACTGGCATGAGATATTGTGATGTGAAAAGAATCAGTTTAAAGACTAGGATGATTTTCTTTAACTCCAGTACCTGATGTACAATTCCTGAACCAGGAGGAACCACAAGCATGTTGCGGAAAGCATTAGACCCCCATTTAAGAAACGCAAACCTTTCCTTGTTTCGCTGGAACTCAAGCTGCATATTAGCCTGTACTGCATTTTCTGTCCTTGCAACATCAACTTGAACAGAATGATCAATAACTAGGTCTACGGGGACCTGCAATTCGCAAATCCGAAAACCAATTAATTAAATGAGATGAAGGAATAACATGATATGAATTGCCTGTTTTAATATTCCTATCATGCTAATCAAAACCAGAAGATATTCCCATACAGCATGTCGATGATTTATAAACAATGTAGAACCAAGCTATTGACATGTTTGAAGGTAATGTATTCACTCAGATCAGCAGATAGATCTCATTATATGTATAACTCAAAAATGGTGTGTATTAATAAGAATGCAAAAAAATGGAATCATACTTACCAGGGGATTGATCTTGTCAGAATCACTTCCAAGATTGTTCATAGCATCACGCATACAAGCTAGGTCTACCACTGCCGGGACACCAGTAAAGTCCTAGGTAGAAAAAAAAAAAGTTCACGCGAAGAATCATTCTCGATTAAGAGACATTTTAGGGAGGCATGGAACAAAACCATTACTTGCAATAACACACGCGCTGGCTTGAAGGGTATCTCGACCAGCTTAGGAGCAGAGCTTTCCCAGTCAATTATTTTTTCAACATCTTCCTTCTTCACTTGAAAGTTGTCACAATTACGAATTGCAGATTCAAGAAGTATCCTAATAGAGTAGGGCAGCTTATCTGTGACACATGCATGAGATGAGAGACAATAGACTAATAGCATGCAAGTGCTGCAATTGCATTTAAGAACTATCCTCGCTACAAAGTTTTATTTACATTTGCAGAGTTGGTAAATGATATAGATATGTGTAACTACAGACATGAAAGATAAAACCAGGTCAGATCATTGGGTATATGCTTATTAAAAAGTTTTTCCTTTAAAATATGCTAGCCAACAAAGATCCAATTTTTCCCTAAAGAAAGACCAAGATAATAGGAGATGGAAGTTTAAAAAACAATAAAATATTTTTGAATCAGAAAGCAGGCATTTTTACTAAAACAGTAAGCATAATGGTTGTGAGAAAGATACCTATCCGTGGATCATTGAGAGCAGGCAGGCTGTAAAACTTTCCGAACTCACCACCTCCTGGTTTGGGGAGACTGGTAAGGATGCCTTTGAACGGATTTTCGGATGCTGGAGCCATTAACATAAACACAATCAAAAACTAATATTCGTTGTTTTCTTTTTATAAGCTGAGACTATAATGGAAAAACCATTCAACCACGGCAAAGTGAGTAAAAGTTGACTTTGACTTTAGCGTAAAAGTACACTACAACTAATACGGAGTACTTCGTAAATAGGAAGAACAAAATATCTCCAGTCAATGTCATCAACTGTGAATCTGTGATGGAAAGGCCCTACCACTGATATTGGATCAGATGAATTCGCAGTCATCGGAATAAAAACACCAAACTGAAATTATTATTCCGCAGTCCACATGTAAAACGAAAATTAAACATTAAGAATCGGATTTCCCTCAAAATATATATACCTAGGACTCGAGAATGGCCAATTTATCAATGTAATTTTATAATCAAACAGCTGAGGAGAGCAGAAAAGAGAAACAGTACCCATAGAAGCGATCTTCCGATGGAACTCGCTGAGAATGGGGGAGGCAATCCTGATCTGGGCAGAAAGGCTAGCAGGGGACTTCCAACCGATGCCGTGACTCCAACCGGATGAACGGATCGACCGCAGAGCGGGCGAGAAGCTCAGCGACCGATGCTGCTGCTGGCGAAACAAAGGCGGCGGGTGGTTCCTGGTGGGTCTGTGAAGAGGGGAAGCTGTGGTGAAAAAACGAGGGCGGAACAAGGCGGAAGATGAAGCTCGTAGGAGTGAAGTTGCGGCTGCAGAAGAAGAGGGTGAGTTTATATACATGACGAGTTTGCGTGTGCGGGTCGACATCAATATCTACAGATCACACTCATTGAGAAAAATGATGATGATGTGGGTATGCGAGGGATGGGTGGGGTGGGTGTTTCTTGATTTGTGTGCTGAGTTTAGCCGAAATACAAAAACAGACGGAGGAAGAAGGTATGGAAATGAAGCAGCTGAGATGGCCCTGTTATTGATTGATGAATATAAATAAATATTCTCCATATATGCAAAGCGACATAAAAGGAATGGGAGAGAAGTACGGAGTGTGGATGCCATGGGACTTGGTAGGCTTTTTTGTGCACTTCGTTTTTGTTACTCCCTCCGTCCCTCTAAGTTTGTCCCATTTTACCTTTTTCGTCCGTCCCATTAAGTTTGTCCCATACCATATTTGGCAATATTTGGGTGGTTACAATTCATTCTTACTTTATTCACACTTTATCAACTCAACACCAACCACACAATTCCACTTTTTCTTAAAATTTGTGCCACACTCCTTTGTCCCAAACATTGTGGGACGGAGGGAGTATTCTTTAACGAAAAAAAACATAACAAGCACTAATAATAGTTTAAGGGACGAACGGAATAGGAAGTATTTTTTGGTCGAAAGGAGCTTATATTGATAAAAACCATTCAGATGGAGTGAAAGAAGACAAAAGGACCACGTGTAAGTAATGTAACAATCCACTCTTGATCGAGACTCTGAGTTAATCACCTTTGACAAAAAAATATAACTCGTTGGACCTAACTTGGACAAAATAAAGCCAACGACGATTACCGTAGACCTCTCATCCTTCAAACCTAATGCAAGAGTCTTACAGCATAAAATAAAATAAAAACAAAACAAAATCATCCTAGCGTGGAAATTAAAATGCAAATACGCCAAAAAAAAATAGACACCATAACTAGTCCTCTTGAGTAGAATCACCAAGTGCACAATCGGCGGTGGTTCAGGAGGAAGCCGTATCATCGGTACCTCTCTAATTGATCCTCCATTGTCGATCGAAATTTGGCCTAGACAAAAACCTTCCAACTCTCCTCATCCCACACTCGTAGCAAAACCGCCACTAGCAGTCATCTTCTTCGCTGTCAAGCCCTGTGATGCATTCATCTTTCTTTGCTACCCTGCCTTGCTGCTTTGCGACGCCCCAACAAACCCTCGTGGCCGCAACCCTCTTGGCTTCTGACTACTTCTCTCCCGTTAATCTTTCTCCGCGAATGGTCCATAGAACTCCGCGAAGAAACCGATCAACAGAATCTCCGTCGATCTCTGCTTTCGTGCTGAACAGCAAGATCCCCAACATAATACGAAGTATGTACTAATAGAAAAAATTACACACATATCACCACTTTAAACCCCACTTACAAAAATATGACTTTTTGCTCTAACTTACTCCCATGATGTCATATGTGTTCCATATTAATAGTCACTTTTTTGTAATCCCGTACACCATGTAAAAATCTCAGTAGGACTATAAAAAAAAGAAAATTCCGTAATATGAGCTTAAGTTTTTTATTCCCTAAATAGGACTATATTAGTCCTATGTAGAAAAATCGAACGACATCTCCCTCTCCAACGGCTCTCCGTGCATCGCAGCCACCACCGCCACTGACTCTGCCGCCTCACGCAATCGTCGTCACTACTGGCTTCACCATGCGCCATCGCAAATATCTTCTTCTTCTCCTCCTCCTCCTCCTATTCCTATATTTTAATGAGATTAGACATTGATTTTTCTGATCTTCCTCATATTCGTATGTATTTCTCAAACTAGTTTTTTTTACGCGCGTTGCGCGACAGAATAAATGCCCAATATGATTTACTTTATAAAAACCAGTACAAGTATATAGTATTGATTTCCTGTCGACCCGAAAAGCTCTTAAGCAGGCTTGGCCGGTTTACTTAAAATGCATTGTATCCTGCAAACACGGGACCCTCCTGTCCATAACGTTTCAGGTCACTCTCAGTCGGAGCAAGGAGATGTGGCCCCTAAAAATTAAAATAGGCTGGTAACACACAGAATATTCAAATCATGAAAAGGACATTCACTTTGGCAAGTGAGCTCGGAACAAAAAATAAACAGTGTACATAAAATATAATCCTACAAATATTTGACTCCAATTTTCCGCACAATAAAATAACAAATCTAGCTAGAACTTGATGAATAACAACGATTTCATATTCACAGAAACATAGAGCACTTTTTAAAATCCCCCAAAGTGAAGATAGTTAGATACATATGTCATAACTGAGATTTAGTTAAATCTTCATCATGTCCGATGTAGGTAACAAAATGAAATAAGTACTCTAAAGAAAAGCAGACCACAGAAAGTAATGACACAATGTATTTTAAGTTATAACCTGCTTCATTAGAGAAGTGAATGCATCCTTGGACAAACCAAACCCAATGCCTGTGTTTTGACCAATAGTATGAAAAGACAGAAGAAGTTTCAAAGCTGACAAAAATGGTACAAGGTTAGGAAAGACAAAATTTGGCTTACCTCCGGGTGTGACCGGCTTTGAATTCAGTTCATACAGAAGTGCAATGCTTATTATGCAACAAGTATGGAGTAAACAGGCAATACTAAAGCATGTTATAAGAAATCTATAAATTGAGGAAACCTTAAACTCAGTGATTGCCAACCGTGGACCAACTCGCCACATGTACCGCCACATCAACCTAACTACGAGGTACTTCAATTCCTTCGGGTGTAACTCCAACCTGTCTGAAATTTCCACAACAAGTACTGCATTATTGATTAATAAAGAGTGTGCATGTATGCGAAGCATTTTAAGTTCTTATAACTCCATTATAAACTACACTCTTTTCAATCACTGCTGGAAGGTCATATTATTTAAACGTCCTAAGTTTGTTAGCTTGAGCAGTCCTTTACGATCAGTCAATGAATAAAAAACATAACCGAAAAGCAAAGTAATACACACACATCAAAGAATCAGTAATCATAAACATGTTAAGGCTAGCAAAATAGTGTATTCCAATACTTAAAAGATACTTCGTATTAAATATCATGCCAATCAAACAAACACATGAAACTTATCATATAGACTTGCAACTCATCATTATTAATATTATAGGTATTCAATATTAGTATCAAGCATGAGTAATATTTTAACATATCAAGTATGGCATAAGCAAACACATAACAATCACACTAAAAGTAGGGGATGAAATAAAATAAACAACAACAGTGGACTGTAAGTAAAACATGACCGAAACCACGTTTTTGGATTGAAATCTGACAAACAATTGAGAAATAAAGAACCAACGCGAACAAGGCATAGTAACGATGGCAATTAGGAATGAACTCGAGTTAAATCTTAAGGGAAAATATACTTAATTAGATAAGAATGAAGAACTTACAAAAGGATGCCAAGCAATTCAAAATTGTTCAATACCAGGTTCCAAGTTCATCAACCATGTTGTCTGCCAGAGTTTCTGAAGGAAAAAACAAACTAATTGAAAATGAACTGTCACTCAGAAGTAAGGTTAAGAGAAAAGGAAGTTTAAATATTTAACAGCAATAATTTTTTATCTGTGAAATATAATTATTCCAGAAACTAATTATTCCAGAATATCCGGACATTTAACGAATGGAAATGAAGTTGAGTTCAGTCAACCTTTACAGTGCCATAGCATTTCACGCAGAAAGTAAAACAAACACTCCTTTGAACATATTCTGCCAAACATTAAAACTGGGAAGTGGGCGCACAACATACCCTTGAACTGAAACATTATATATCAGATTTTAAGGATTAGAAGACACAATTTTGAAACATACAAAATGCACAAGATGGAAGAGTAAAATAATTTTAATTTTATTTACAAGTATGCAACAGATGATTTCAGAGGTTGGCTAGAATGGTTGAACATTTAATTTCTGAGGTTACGCCAAAACACAGGAGCGAAGGAGCAACTGGACTTGTGTCGGCCGCGTCCGAACGACAACCCTTGCTAGAGGGCTCGCAGGAGCCTAGACGCCCCGCGTCCGAATAACCTAAATTTTTGTTCGTGGAAATGCTATTTACAGTTACAGAGGTGAAGACAGTCAAGACACTGAAGAGTGAAGACCTCATTGAAGGGAGATGATGAAGGGAGATGACACGACAACTGGTTAATTAACGGGAGTTAGACGGAAACATTAGGGTAGCACTCAAGCGCAAAAAGTTTATAGCACAGTGTACAACAGCTTAAAGCTACATGTACCACCAACACATTTGTCATACCTAAAATACCCTTACCTGTATTCACCCTTATAATATTTTAGATTTGACATTGATTTTGTCATTTTTTAGGAATTCTGTTTTGTATTTTCTGTTTTTTTTTTATTTTTGATTTCTTAGTTTTTTTTAAAAGTTCCGATTTTCAAAAGTTTGGATGGTGGTTTCATATTTTTTTATTTTTGATTTCTAATTTCTTAGTTTTTTAAAAGTTCCGATTTTCCAAAAGTTTTGATGATGGTTTCATATTTTTCCAAGTTTATGGTAGAAATATGTAGATTGACAAACGTATTATGGCAGAAATGCTTTTGTGTAAACCGATTTCTCTATTTTTTTGTCAATAGCTTCTTATTTTTAATTTTCGATTGTGGTAATGTGCTTGTTTCATTTTTTGACTTTTTGAATATTTGGTTATTGACTTCATATTTTTGCCAAATTTATGATAAATTTGTATCAAATTTCCTACATAAATCTGCCAACTTTATGGCAGATATGAAAAACCTTGTTGATGGCAAATTCCAAATACTCTTTAAAGCTAAATCTGCCAACCTAATGGCAGATATATGACGTCATAGTTGTGATGACAACGGCGGTACTCGGAGGTAGAGCGGTGCCTAATGCAGATATATGACGTCATAGTTGTGATGACAACGGCGGTACTCGGAGGTAGAGCGGTGGCGCACGATAGATTGCGAAGGCTGGTGATGGCGACATGTTGAAACACTGGTTGGGCGACATCGCCTAGCGGCGATGGATGGTGGTACTAGCGAGGAGGCGGTGTGGGTGGAAATGCAGCGGCAGACCATTCCGGTGATGGCGGCGGCAAGCGCCGCCGGTGATGGCTGTGGCAGGCGGGGGTAGGGGCAGGGGCGACAGCAGAGGCAGTTCTATCACTACACTGAAAATTTTAGGGTTTCTTCAATTTCTATTTTACTTTTTAATTGGAAGTTGAAATAAAATTTCATTTAGGACATTTTTGCACAAGTAGGTGATTTTAAGTCGTATGAAACATAATTTCAAATTAAAGT